TTTCATGACACACATCAGTCATCGTTGGGCGAAAAGTAGTATTATAACTTCCTAATTTAACTTAAACCGCACACGATTACATCACTCTGATTGTAAGAGTGCGGTGTCTCTAAAATATATTATCTCCGATTGGCAAGAAATGAAGTAGGCCTATCTCCAGTATTTTATATGTTTCAAAATTTCGGACAAAAGTGTAAAAATTCACCAAGAATTGGCATGTTTTGATAAAATTCGCCGCTATTCAACACCTGTTCATAATTATTACATCCATAGACCCTCAAATTTTCATCGTTGTGCAGAATGCGCCAGAGAAACTCGTTTTTTTTTAAAGTTTTTTTCGAAAACAATGACTGAAACGAGCCTCTTGCAATTTTTCAGATTTTTTAACCGTCAATTGCCAAAAAAAACCACTTTTGAAAGTTGCAAAAATTGGCTCGGCTTTATCCATCGCCTTATGCGAGGCCAGTTCGGTCGTCGGGTGTTGATGAGCTTCTTCCTTCCTTAAAAAAATTTTTTTCTCTTGAACTTTTTGATGAACGTTTTGATTTTTTCGCGAATTTTCACGTCAGGAAAACTCTACTTCAACCCTGCAAAAATTCCTCACCACCGCTCTTTATGACTCAACTTTGCAGCATTGGTTTTGACCAGCGATTAGCTGGAACCCGACCACATTTCTACACGAGTCTCTACTCTACCCTGCTAAGTGAAAACGCCGTATGAACTATCGAGAGTTGCCAAATTTCCTAGGATAAAATGTTTATTTTTCCGGAATGTTTTTTTTTTCACGAATGTTTTCCCTGGTAAAAATTTGCAGTAGAATCTGTGTTCCAAAATACCATAGACCTATAGCTGGCTGTTAGATTTTCAATAGCTTCTATCACCGGCTGCACAATTTCTTATAGCCTTTTATAGCCGATGGCGACTAAGCAACAGCCAGGCGATAAAGTGTATGCTAAATGTTACTAATTACGGATGCTAGGACTTAGTGAGTTTTTTGACTACCGACTACCGCTCTATTTTTGGGCCGTAGTATCTTGATTTTAATTGGGCGGAAAGTCCCGCACTTTCGAAGGATGCCTGTCATTCCTATTATGTTGGAGCGCCTTCAATTTCGTATGATACCGTGCAATACCTGTGATGTGAAATAGTTGCATCAAGCGCCGTGGAAACGTGCATCGGCGACTACAAACCTAACAGGGATACTTCACGCATTGAGCAATGCGTGAAGTATCCCTGTTAGGTTTGTAGGCGCTAGTGCGCGCTTATCGCTCGCAGCACGCCGCTCCGTTCTGTGTTAGGCTCCAATATATAATCTCGCGGAGTCAGCGTTTTCCAACTCATGATTTTAAAATGTTTGCACATCCTGTAAGGATAATTCTCATTTTAATTGATTAAAAAAAATTGTATTAAAGGAAAATATAATCTATACTATAAGCTCCAAGACCTCCTAATTTTGCGAAACTGGTAACGCTTAGTTCCAGCGTTCTACCGGGCCGATTTTCATGAATTTTGCGGCTATCGACGGGCAATTGTCTCTAGATAAGCCAACTCTTTTCAGATTTTCAAAATATGGCCCAGAATTTTTTATATTACGTGGTAAAGTTGCGAATTCTCCCATTTAAACAATGTAAATTTATACTTTTTGTCATAGTTCGTTTGAGCGTTCTACCGGGCCGATTTCCATGATTTTTGCGTAAATCGGCAGGTAATAGGCCCTACATGAGCCCGCTTTAATCAGATTTTGGAAAAAGGACCCAGGTTTTTTTAAAATCACGTTAAAAAAGTGAGTGAGTTTACAGAATGCTCCGGTACTGCTACCGCTATGCGCGGGAGGATGCGCAGTGGTCGAGGAGGTTGCGCAGTAGCTGTGTAGCCTGCGCATCGGCTCTACACTTATCTACACAAGATTCGCGCCGTCAATCTCACGTCGAGCGGTGGCCGAGTCGTCTAAGACGTCGAACGCGACCACTTTGAACTCGGTGTGGGATCGATCCCCTAATCGTAATGTCTTAAATATTACCTGACTATCGTTGTTCATTGTTTAACTACAATATTTCGTCGAGCAGTCATTCCAAAACGCGCCCTTTTAATTTTAAAGTAATTTTAAGTAAAGTTTAAAATTAAAGTATACCTCATATCGTAATTTTTTAGGGGAAAAATAAAACTAACACTGATAGGAGGGTAAAAATAGGGCCGCGAAGCGGCCCATTGATGGCGCGGAGCGCCTTCAGGGGGTTGCGCCGCGTAGCGGCCAGGGGGCGTAGCCCCCTAGTATATATATGTGTTTTGTACATATTGTGGTGGTTCCGTATCGAACCTAGTGATTTCCAAAGCACACGAATTCCTACACAATTTCTTATAGCCTTTTAAAGTCGATGGTGATAAAGTGTAAAGCCCGGCGATAGGAACTATAGCCCGGCTGTATACTTTTTTATCGCTTCGTATAGCTCGGCTATATGATTTGCTCCGCTTTCTACAGCCAGCTGTATGATTTTCTATTGCCTTCTTTAGCCGGCTATAAGAATTCCTATGGTATTTTGAAACGCAGCTCCTATCGCCAATTTCTACCAGGGTTCCATTGATTTGGAGATAATGTAGATCTAATCAGGAATAAAATTCTTTGAAAATTTCGAGGGCAAATGTTGATAGATTTTCCTGAAAAGTCATATTTTATGAAATTAAATTTGGCAACGTCGGAAGGATCATACGGCGTTGTTTCTCAGCACGGCAGTACTGCTGTTTGGTATGACCAAGGGGTCACATCGGAATGTAGGTAGATTGTTGACTCTACTCGGTCCATTCGGACGCATTTCTGTCAAACGGAACTATGTGCATTATGACATGAGCTCTGAGACCCATAAGAATGCACGCGTATCAGGGCTCAAGTCACAATGCACATAGTTCTGTTTGACAGCAATACGTCCATTTGTCGCTCTAGTATTTGACTTGATCGATGCACGACTTCGCCGACTCGATAATGCGAGGCNCGCCGCTCCGTTCTGTGTTAGGCTCCAATATATAATCTCGCGGAGTCAGCGTTTTCCAACTCATGATTTTGAAATGTTTGCACATCCTGTAAGGATTATTCTCATTTTAAATGATTAAAAAAAATTGTATTAAAGGAAAATATAATATATGTATGTGTTTTGTACATATTGTGGTGGTTCCGTATCGAACTTAGTGATTTCCAAAGCACACAAATTCCTACACAATTTCTTATAGCCTTCTAAAGCCGATGGTGATAAAGTGTAAAGCCCGGCAATAGGAACTATAGCCCGGCTGTATACTTTTTTATCGCTTCGTATAGCTCGGCTACATGATTTGCTCAGCTTTCTGCAGCCAGCTGTATGATTTTCTATTGCCTTCTTTAGCCGGCTATAAGAATTCCTATGGTATTTTGAAACGCAGCTCCTATCGCCAATTTCTACCAGGGTTCCATTGATTTGGAGATAATGTAGATCTAATCAGGAATAAAATTCTTTGAAAATTTCGAGGGCAAATGTTGATAGATTTCCCTGAAAATTCATATTTTATCAAATGAAATTTGGCAACGTCTGAAGGCTCATACGGCGTTGTTTCTCAGCACGGCAGTACTGCTGTTTGGTATGACCAAGGGGTCACATCGGAATGTAGGTAGATTGTTGACTCTACTCGGTCCATTCGGACGCATTTCTGTCAAACGGAACTATGTGCATTATGACATGAGCTCTGAGACCCATAAGAATGCACGCGTATCAGGGCTCAAGTCACAATGCACATAGTTCTGTTTGACAGCAATACGTCCATTTGTCGCTCTAGTATTTGACTTGATCGATGCACGACTTCGCCGACTCGATAATGCGAGGCGCCTGATATATTACAATTGATCACGCGCGCTGCTCCAATCGCCTCGAGACCCCCAAACCCCCCCCCCCNCATATATGCAACCGTGAAAGCTCAGTGTCTCCACTGACCGATCTAGTGGCTATAGCATTCCTGCCATATCAGAAATATCGATTTTCGTTGATGTGCTTTCAAGAGATGAAGAGCAAAAAAACATTTTCTGCGCATTTTCGCACAAATAGTGAAGACCGGATGTCTCATTTCGCCTTCAACTTTGATGATACTTCAAGCCTATCCATGAAGCACGAACAGTAGTATCCGTGAGCCGTGTGAGCTCACAAGTCTTGTTCTGTTCTGCCGTTCTAAGGAAGAACGCCGTATGAACATTCGAGAGTTGCCAAATTTCCCACGATAAAACGTATATTTATGAGAAAAGTTATGAATGTTTTCCCTTGAAATTTTTAGGAATTTTAGGTGAAATTGCGAACAAAATTACCTATAAAATGGGAAGGAAAATATTCATAAGTTTACCAGGAAATTTGTGTTTTATCAAAGGAAATTTGGCAGCGCCTGAAGGTTCATATGGCGTTTTTCCTTAGCGTTGTTGTCGTCTTTTCATTTTTACATTTCAACGATATTTGCTAGTTACAAACTAAGAAATAGTAATATGGCCCATTTTTTTGGGATATTTTCAATAATTGGATCGCATTTAGCAAAAAGCGAACGCGCGCGATTAATGTGTTGCGTGTAAAAATGTTCCTTCCTCATAATTATCTAAAAAATTTCCTAGAATAGCAAATGTTTTGACTTCCCACCTAAAACTTATTTTGAAGGAAAATGATTGTGTAAAGCTCAATACTACACATATATTAAGTATTTTTAATAGATAAAGAGAAGTTGCACGATTTTGAAAACACTGTAATCGCACTGGTTCATTTTTGCTAAGTGTGAAAGAAAAGTTTTACTTTGATCCCAAAAATTGATTCCTAAAATATTTGTGTTGAAATTTGTTGTGACACCACAGGTATTTAGAAACACCTACTATAAAATGTTCAATATGTAACCTCTTCCATGAGCTCATTAAAACTTGGCGCTGTAATATTTGCCAAACTGCAAATTCCTCGATACTGCGCTAGTGAATAATTGGTGCTAATTTTTCATCGTTCCCTTGTTTGCAGGAGGAGTTGGAGAGTCTACGTGCCAAACTCGATAAGTTGGAGCAAGAGCGGAATCTACTGAAGCATGAGACGGACAAACTCGAAACCAAGGTCAGTTGAAAACTAATTAATTGATTCCATCACCTTTCTAATTTCGGAGTTGCGACCGCTCCCACAACGAGCAGCATAATGACGGAACTGCAGACCGTAGCCAATCCATTGATTGTTTCCAATCATAACAATCGTCATAATCGATTATTGTTCGCTTGTTGGTCGGTCTCCATAAAACCAATGAAATTTTATCAAATCGTCGTTTCCTGGACGAAAGAACGTTACTTAATTCCAAGATTGCAAAATAGGCTTAAACAATTAATTTTTTTACTGAAATGTTCCTGAGCAATTTTTGTCCAAAATTTGTATGATTTTCGCATGAGATCAGAAGAAAAATCTGAGAACTTTTCAGTTAGAAATGCTCAAGATTCTCTTAGTTTTATTGCAATTTTGTAGTGGAGATTTGGCAACATTGAAATTAAGTTTTGTTCTCTTGTGAGGGAGACGATTAAATGTTGATCGTAATCGGTAGCAAACGGATTAGGATCTGATTTTTTAAGTGCCCCTCGGGTAAATAATGGTTTAAGCGTAGTCTACAATGTCTACGCAATGTATTATTGTGGGTACGATCGATATATTTCAAATCCCAACTATTAGGTGGATTGTGTTGAAAAAAATCAAAATATCAGTCTCTACATATTATATTGATAATTTAGGAGTGTTCGTGCCGAAAATCATCTTCCAAAAATCTAAAAAATGAAACCAGAGCCTTTTCCTCATTTTGCAACCGATTTCAATGCATCGATAACGATGGTTAATGAGAAACAGTACTTTTTACTTTGTTTTAAAGTGTTAGAAGCTGATATTCAGAACGAACATTCCTTGATTATGGATGTAGAATCTAAAATCTCGATTTCTCCAAAATAATCCATTAATGGTCAAACTTTGAAGTATATGGATCGGACCCAGACTGCATTGTGCAAAGCTGCGCAGATCCACCGAAAAGTAGTTACATTCAACACGGTCGAATCTCAGATACGTATAAACGTTATATATTACACGGTGACAATTTCCTGAAAGGCGGGAAAAAGTCAGGAAAATATTGCCGTTAAACCGCGAAATTTTGATTTCGTTTATATTCTTGCATGGTTTCGCAGCTTCACGTTTTATCGGGAAGTGCAATGAAACGCGAGACAACATACATCATAAATGTTTGAAAAGTGGAGGATTCTGTATGACAATTAATGATACAAATATTTTAACTCTGGTGTGAGCGGTGAGGTATCCTGCGAAATTGAAGGCGTTTTCGACTGTTGGCAACAGTTTGACGCGTACCACGTCAACGGATCAAGTAAATCCGTATCCCTCCCGTCGTTCCTTTGACTCGAGTGACGATCCATCACCAGACATTCGCGAATAATGCCGACAGTTTCTCTGAAGATTTTTTTCCGACGGAGTGCGAGCCAGTTACGCCATCTCACCAAAACCTTGGGTGGGCAAGTGACCGTACATGACCCCTAACATGATCCGTAAGTAAAGAAATGAATAAATGAATAGCTTGATTAAGACATATGCCGTTAACTTAGGTAAAGTTAATTTGATAATCGTTAATTCTAGTAACGTGAGTTAAATAAGTAAATATAAGTACAGAAAAGTATATAATAAAAATACGTAACAAGACCGTTCAAAAATTATGTTTACAGCAATGCGATCAATTTTTCTCGTTTTTTATGCAGGCCTCCTGAAATTCGGACACCTTCCCTCCGCCCCCCGCCCCCGCCAAACGACGCTACTAATGCGAATCAATAATTTACCTTCCGTAGAAAGCGTTTTCAGTCCTTGAATCTGTTAAGAACGTTGCTCTACTAACCATGTCCTGGATATGTGGTGCTTAAATTCTTTCCTGTCTCGCGGGCACATGAAACAAGAGTTTGTGACTAGTACAGAGCCCGTTCATAGTTAGCTTTTGAATAATTGACCTGTGACATCATCTCTGGTCGCTGAATCCAGACGGCGAGATGGGACGGTCGCAAGCCCAGGATCGTTCATTTCAACGAAGCAATAAAGCTCTTCCAATGCTGGCTCCCTGCCCGAGCCCGAGTCCGATAAAGTACAGTTATCATGAGACTTATTCTCTGACGAAGCCGTCTCCTAGTAATTACCTGATAAGAGGGATCATTCGCTTTGCCCCTCCGAGACTGGGTGTGGAACAAAGAGGCCCTTCTTCGAAGGATCTCAGAACGACTCTCTGCACTCGTGTGCTTTCTGCACATGACCGTCAGTGCCGCGGCGTGCTTTGCCATGTATTTATTCATCTGCCATTTTAACCTATGGAAGAGGATTGCTAAACAGGGTATACTCAACCGATCGATTCTTTACCGTAGCTTCAAATGGGAAAATATCGATAATCGATCATTTCCGCCTCGCCACTGATGACCGTCCTAGAAGAAAGGGCCTTATTAGTCTACAAAGATTCAAAATTGATTAATTAATTCAGGAGCAGAGATATTTCGAGAGAAATTTCATTATTTTACATTTGGACGTATTCCTTTGAAACGGAACCAGGCGCCATCGGGAAGGAAGGGAGAGGGGAGCTTGGATTGGCGGGTGTTGCGGAACGCGATGCTCGTTCCGTCCTATACTCGCAATGCTTTTCCATGGCACTTAATTCCGTTTGACAGAACGCGCTATCCGGGATTCTAAAATCCTCAATAGCAACTCAATTTGGCGCTTGGTCCCGTTTAACAGAAATACGTCCATTTGATGAAATTTTGTCACCCTGATTCCGGAATTCGCCCGATTTTGATCCTTATGAACCCCTCTTTCTTTTTAAGATTTTGGTGGGGGCGCGGCGAACTACCCGCGAAGAGGGGAGGGGAGGGGGGCTCCGCGCGTGCACGCGTCGCGACGCTATGCCGCGCCGCCGTTGCATTCGTAATTAGCTCTGGAAAGCATGGCGGGCAGTTAAAGACTAAAGGTTATTTATAGTAATTGCTCTCGCACTCGTCGCGTCCGCCCCCCCCTCCCCCACCCCTGTCCCATGGCGTCGGCTGTCAACGTCCGTCATTCGACAACATATCGCTCTTGACCATCGTCGCTTTTAAGACCCGCTCTCGCTGCCTCTCGTCTCGGGAAAGAAAAGGGTCCTCTCGCTTCTTATAATTTCGGGTGCTACCTCCGTTTTTTACCTACCGTACCGAGATGGTAACGCGATAAGATGTAAGTCCTCTTCTTCTGCACGAATATCTCCAAGGTTTCGATCGAGTGAAATGTGACTCCTTTTGGGAGCTTCTGAAAGAGGTCAGACCAACCAAGTTATCGGAGAGGAAATCTTGTTCGTTTCGACGTCGTGTTCACTACAAATGGCTAACTTTTCCCTCAGCAATTATTTTTTTTCCACGAAAAAAGGGGGAAAAAGTGAAGGAAAAAAATCCTCAAAGCAGACATGGATAGTTATTTTCATTTTGAGAAAACAAATTCTGTCAACGGAAAAACACACGGAAGCTTATATTAGGGCATATAGAGGGTCATATTCACAGTCGTTCCTCATTGATTGGACGTATTTCTATCAAACGGAAGTATGTGCATCATGACGTGAGCCCTGTTATGCATATATTCTTATGAGTCTTAGGGCTCATGTCTTAATGCACATAGTTCTATTTGGCAGATATACGTTCAATTAAGGTTTTAAAGTCATAAGAATTACATCTGTTTAGAAAGTCTTAAAGTTATATAGAAGAAGAACTATAAGTACGACGCTTAGACTCGTATGTTGTGCAAGAAAAAAGACCTTTTAGATCCGTTTTTCCACCAGTATATCCACAGTCAATTTTACTCGATATGCCCCTCAAGGTCCTTTATTACCCTGGATAAGTTTATCAGACTCAGCGGAACTGCATCTAACGATATTTTATTTCCTCTCATTTTTTTTTCCAATTGTAAGAACAGAAATCTACGTTATGCCTAGGAAATGTCTGTGAATTTCCTCCAAGGTAGAAAAGAATACACGTCTCCTGAGAAAAATGCTGCAGTTAATAATTCTCAGACGAGAATTTTCTTTGAGTCAATCGGGGCAATCTCTTCAAAATGACTGGACGTCCCTTTGAAAGAACAGAAATGCCGTTTAAAACAATGAGCTTTCCTGTTGACTCAACGAAAATTTTCGTCCGAAATTTATCAATTAGAATTTCCCATTATCCAACGGAAAATTTTTCTACGTGCAGAAGAAATAGAGGCAGAGTGTTTTTTCGTATTTTTATGATGAAAAACAAACCATGAAAAAAAATTCGGCTGCGTTTGATGTAGTTGATCTTACGAAAGAGGCATTCCGGAAAAGGGTGAAAAATCAGTTTTGTAATACGTTTCGTGTCCAGTCGAACCATGAGGGATCCATTTTCTAAACTCAAAAGAAAGTGCTCGACAAATATGAAGCGTGAGATTCCTTCCGATGTTTTCTAGCTGTTAATTGCGCCAGGTCGCGTGCTTTAGAGTATGATTACAGAGCCACGCACGGCCGTTACAAGGCCAGTTCCGTTCGAAAGAAAATATTCAAAGTACGAGACTGTACGGACCCTCCTGTCAACAAGCATACGTGATATTAATTACCTGTGAAAGTGAAATTATCTAAGCGCGTCCGGCCCGTGGGGACACTCAAGGTCCAGTTTAATGTGGTAATCACCTCTTGTGTCGGCTCCAAGTGCAACAGGGAATTTTTCCATGTTCGATGGCGTAGATACAATTTGTGGAACGTTACATCGTGAAATAAACTTTTGACCATGTTCTCAAGGGCGGGTTGAGGGGGAACTTTTGGATTCGACTTATGGTGTATAGAAGGTAGAAAAGTATCTGGAAATCACCCTGATTCATCGAAGAGTAGAATTATCCGGGAATATTAAGAATTTTGTTGTACTTTTTGTGTGGAGACCCGAGATATCTTCCTTATCCGCTTCGAGATCTTATTATATTTAAAAACGACGATTCTTGTTGAGTCTGCTCAAATGAACGGATGAAAACAGGAGAAATTGATACATTTTTTCGGGAAGAAAAAGAACAAAAAAACG